GAACAGTGTGCATGGACCCCATGCCACTCACACGAAATCATGGGGAACTACAGGGAGATCCTTTCTTCTTTCGTTTGGTTCCTCCATTTGCCGTAAGTTACAGGAAAAAATGAGAACATGTGTCCAATAGTGATAGACTGCTGCTAAAACCAACGCGAGAACTTAAAGGTATTAACTATGAATTTCAGCAAATGGAAGGGGTTTGCGCCATGTACTGGGAACAGTGTGCATGGACCCCACACCAACCAACCCAAATCGCTCTTTTGGTTTTGTTCTTTCATGTCTCTTTCGCTCTTGCTGCCTTTCCGTCTCCAAAGTGGTGCTCTTCACCAGCCGGCCAAGCCCCCCACTGGCCGCGACGATCGCGGCGCTGGCCCTTCCGCGCGGAATTTCAAAAAGGCATCCGAGCCCAGGCGAGAGGTTCCAGCCGGGTCCCGACTTCACTTGGAATCATAGGTGGCCCTTTTGGAAAAATAAATGGCCCTGGGAAATGGGGCATACACCCCATCTAAGCATATCTAGCCAGGGAAACCCCTTTATTTCTTTACGCGAACCAACAAAAAAGGACACCTATGGAGGGAATGTTGGGATTTTGGGGGGGAAGTCCCAGTGGGGCTGCTGGTGATAGATTCGAATTCACCAACCTTCCCTGAACCTTCCATTGGTGCTTGGTTAAGTCCTTTATTATTTAGCGGAAACCAGGGGGAGAAGGGGTGGATCCTAATATTGACCCCCAATTACGTATTCAGCCTGGTGTGCTAGTAGGAGGGTGTTTTGCCCAAAGTGAAGGGTATCCTCTTCTCTGCATGGCACACCCTAGTCAAGCAGGAGGTTGTTCATGTCATCCTGGGGTCCCATTCTTTAGCAAATTGTCAGCCCAAGGAAAGCCCAACATGTCCTGCTCCTCAAACCCGCAACTTGCCGTGTGCTCAGCCACTCAACTAGAGGTGGCCCGCTGACCACCGAAGCTACGGCAAGTCGGTCTCGCGGTGCTGATTCGGGCTTTCTGTCTTGCACCTCCACGAACTGGAAGCCGGTAGCAACGCAAATAGGGAAAACCGACTTGACCAGGCCACCTCACTTCCGGAGCGCCTGGCCCAACAAAAAGCCCCAAGCCTCTGATTTGCCACTGACATGGTCTTCCCAAGAAGTACACAGTCCAGAAACTCGGGAAGTGCGCGCGACAAATCAACATGACTCCCCAATTGCGCTTAAGACCGTACCATCTCGCAGAGATCGGTGTTGAGCCCTGTCCCGAAGTCTCACTCTGGGGGGGTGCTGGCCATGACTTAACGGCGGCCAAGCGTTGATGGGCCATGATGGGCAGCGTGGACAAATGCGCCTTCAAACGCTCTGCCAGGCAACTTCCACTTGCTTAAGTCCACTGGAAAATGTAGCAAAATGTCCAGTAGTGATAGATTCCCTTTAAAACCAACAGGGGAATATGGGACACATGTTCTTAAGCAAATGGAAGGCAAGGTTGCAGAATACCCACTGACTCAGCAGCGCCGGAAGCGCCACGCGCAAGTGTCGCTCATCACTGCCGCTCATGTCATGCTCGGGCGCGTCAATCAGAAGCATCGCTCAAAAGCGCTGCGCGGTGTCACTAAGACTCGTCGCCAGAAGATGCCAAAAGCTTCGATCACTCCAGCCCTTCCAAACAAGCTGAAGCGTTCCTGACGAGTATGACGGGCATGCTCCTGAATCACACTTGTTTGTTGACAAGTTTGAGCTCCAAGGTCCGCCAAATCAAACAAGCGAGTTCCGCTGCCTCGCCGCGAAATGTCATGCCTCGCTGGCTGCGGAGTACTAGCAATGAAGCGATCACGAGAGTCAGTCAGCTGCATTCCAAACGCAATGCTCAAACGTGTGGCCGGCAGGTGCCGGTTAGCAGCATTGCTGAGAAGAGTCTCTCAGAAGCATTGCGCAGCCACAAATGGGATGCTTAGAACGTGCGATTGGGAATCATATCCCATGAGAGCGTCGCTCCTAAGCCTTAGCCAGGACTGTTTTTCGAGAGCGTTGCTCATGAGTGTTGCCCAGGACCATTTCTCAAGTGTACACTGTATCACTCAGCGATATGTGGCCAGAATTTTGCGAGCGTTGCTCTGGCTGAACAAACTTCTTTGCGCAAAGGACGCGCTTTCATGCTATTGCGCTTTACCCCCCCTCTTTCGCTTTGCTCCAGCTCAATGCAGCGTACGACGCAGGCACTTTCCTCGCTCAGGGTTGGGAGTGGGTAAAAAACGCATCATGCAGAATGCAGGAATGCACTGCCCGTTTGCTCACGTCCGCGCGAAGTGCAGGTCCCGTGCTCCGCCTTGAACAAGGCACTGCTCGTTGCTTGGTAGGTTGTCACAATTCTTATTTCGGCTCATGCCATCATCGCTGCCCTCTGAACCACCCCTGACCTGCCCAAGCCGCACCCGGTTGCCAGCCTGGGACGCGCTGGTTGCAACCAGCTGCCGACCTGAGTGTCGGGGCAAAGGCTGGCAGCCTTTCATAGCTAAGTGCTTCCGGTGCCTGGATGGGTCAAGCTGCTTTGGGGTGGTTTTTTGGCCGGGAACCTGACCAGCAACAAGTGGATCTTTGCACATGGCAGGGGACAACCTGTGGCCTCCCCTCTTCCACAGCGAAGACTACGTGTTGCGGCCTGGAAAGCTGCGGACACGCAAAGGCTACATGTAACGATTCCTTCCGCGGTCCAACTTAAGTTGAGCCCAAGTAGAGTGAAAGGCAAAACAAGCAGTTCCCAACTAGGTCCTCCAGTAGAGAGGTTAGAATGAGGGTACCCTTTTGTCTGTAGTCTATTTTAGTAGGGGAACCCTCCCCCGAAAAAGGGTAAAAGGGCACTACTGGGGGACCTAGCCAAGCTGCAGCCTCTTGGGTGGTGAAGGAGGTGCTTAGATACATTCACCAGCATCCATCTTCTCGTGGCTGTCTGAATGAAAATCACCCGCCTGGAGAAGGCATCCTGTCCAAGGAAAGCTGCATGGGCCAGTGGCACAGGCCCAAAAATGAACTGGCGCAGTCACACGTACGAACTCCAAGCAGATTACATGGGGTATGTATTGAAGGCAGATATGTGGCCCATGCAAAGGCTCCCACGGGACGTGGACTCAACCTCCCCCCCCCTCCCGCCCGCGCAGAGGCCATGAATGTTGGAGGATTATTTTGGCTTGAGGCCCCGTCTTGGGTTTCCTTGGGCCTTGGTTTTCACCCCCTCTCCCCCCTCCCCCCCCATGAGCGCTCCCGGCGGAGGGCAGCAAATGCCATTGCGCCACCTGAGGTGTGGTGGTGAAATGGAGGGGCTTTACCCCGATCTACCAGGGGCTTAAATCCGAATCCAAACCACCAAGCAATTTGACCAAACTGGACTTACTTCACTAACCACACTGCTCAGCACGTTTGGGTTGGGGGCTGTCCCTCTGGGTGTCAAAGCACAACTCGTCCGAGATCTCCAAAATGTCGACACCGAGTTCATACACCTTGCCCAACCGGGCTTGGTTCGTCCAACAGTTGAGGCTTGCCCTCTGCAAAAGGACGCCCCTCCAGTCATGATCAAAGTTAGTCCCAGTTATAGAATATATATATATATATGGTCCCGTGCTCCGTGTTGCTACCCCCCCCCCCCATATGGTATGGTCCCCCAGGACCCCCCCCCCCCAGCCCGAGACCCCGAGCCCCCGGATCCCGGCACCTACGGTCCCACCCCCACCCCGACCCCTGAACTCGCACCCTGACACCCCGGCACCCCCACCCCCAGGACAAGCCAACCCGCAACCAACCATAAACCCACCCTAAACTAACCCTAAACCAACCCTAAATACACCCTAAACCAAACCCTAAAGAGTAGACCTCTAAACCTAAACCAACCCTAAATCAACATAAACCAACCCTAAACTAACCCTAAACCAACCCTACACTAACCCCAAATACACCCTAAACCAATCCCTAAACAATAAACCCTAAACCTAAACCAACCCTAAACCAACCCTAAACCAAACCCTAAACCAAACCCTAAACCAAACCCTAAACCGTACACCTCTAAACCTAAACCAACCCTAAATCAACATAAATCAACCTAAATCAACCCTGAACCAACCCTAAACTAACCCTAAATACACCCTAAATATACCCTAAACCAATTCTAAACCAACCCTAAACCACCACAACCCAACCACAGGACCACAACCACAGGGGGGGGGGGGGGTACTTGTCTGACCCATGACCATTGGGGGGGGAGGGGGGGGGGGCTGGCAACGCTGTACCATATATATGTATGTTATTGCTTGCTTCACTTTGAGGCACTGTTAAAAGGTCTCCTAAGGCTTATTGAGCTCCAGGCATCGTCGTTTCCGAACATTGGCGCGGCTCCGCAGCTCCGGGCTCTGCCGGCGCTGGCGCTATCTCCGGTGAACAAAGTGGAACTCGCTGTCTGCGTTGCTTCTTTGCTGCCACTGGCCCACACAGATAGCGAGATAGCGCGAGATGCTGCGGGTGATGGAGTGTTGAATGCCAATACAGAGTCCTTCTGGAGAGAAGGGGGCCCTGCCTAACAGCCGGTCAGCACACAAGCCCATTGCGCACGCGCACGCTCACACAACATCAATCACACAAACACAGCCAAACTCCCATGCAAGCATAAACATGGACATACACACACACAAGCACCTTCCATTGCAATGAACATTGCAACCACCATGGCAGGTCAGCGTTGCTTCTCTCCCATTCTCTCCATCTCCCTCTCTGCATCTCTCACTTCCATTCTCCCTCTCTCCCTCCATCCCTGCCTCCCTCCCTCCCGCTCTCTCTCTCTCTCTCTCTCTCTCTCTCTCTCTCTCTCGGTCACTGTAATGCCCGCTTTTCCATGGGCTCGGTCACTGCTGCTCGTTCCATGCATGCCAGGCGCTATGACCACTCTTGGTGTGTCGACTTGTGTCGACACGCACGGCCCCCACAGCAGCACACATGGGCATTACACAAGATGCCCCGGAGGATCAAGCGTATCTCTGCACGATGTGAACTCCGCGCCCGGTTGTGACCAGGTCGCTCAGTTCGTTCACCTGCTCGCCAAAACATGCAACTTCTCCAAAACGAACGCCAAAGGGAATCCGACCATTCTATTGAGGTGCCCTACTTTGAGATGCACCCAATTAGAACCCTGCACAAATCACAAGACAGGGCTGCCCTGCAAAAATAATCGAGCTCAGACTCGCATTTGTGGGCGAGACTGTGACTGCGTTTTGAGCAAACATGAGCCCAGACTTTGCACCCGCACGCCACTTGACGATCCCTGTAAAACAGTTCAAACAGCTCCAAATCTGATCTGTTCAAAATGGGTAGATCCCTACTCCAAAATCGTAATGGGACACCACTGATCCCTTTCCTCTCGTAGCCAAGGCCCAAATAAGCGAAACACGCTCTTCCACAAACCCGGGGGCCGACCGACCTCTCTGCCAGACTTCTTAGAGGACCCCTTCCCTAAGCCCCACTGGATGGAAAACAAGACGGGACACCAAACCCGAACCGGGCCCCCACTCATACAACAGATTTGGGGCGGGGGGGGGGGGGGATTTCGGATTGCAACAAGTGAAGCCACTACCATCATATGGATAAAGGCTCTGATATTGAACACACCAGCCAAAAAAATATCTTGGGGCTCCGAACCGGGCGGCAATTGCGGGGCTTGGCGTGTTTCTCGTTGTTTCACCGTCGCCGAACGGGGTATCAAAGAAGGAAATGCCCATGGCACCTGACGGGGGGTTTTCCGGGTGCGGCACCTCTCCTCTTTGCATGTTCAAAGGCAAACCAAAAGGAAAACCACCCATTTGGGGGGTCCTAAAAAAAGATTCTAGCCACCTGTCCCGGCGGCCTTTCAAAAACCAAGAGGGTACCTCCAACAAGGATCTGCTGGCAAACCATTCGACTCATTCGACCGACACTTCGCGGGTCGGAGTGCCTCAAGTGCCAAGACCGCCTCTTCCAGCGTGGGGTCCGGAAGGGTCCCCTTGGAAATCCAGCCTCGGCGATTCGGACTCGCTTTCGGCTCGAGCCGTCAGGGGGTGGAGGTCGACCTCATGAGCCAGCCACCTCTTCCAAGTATCCATGTTGACCCGGACTTTGTGTTTAAACAAGGGGCAAGAAGAATTCGAGACTAGAACACAGCTGTTTGTCATGTGCCCGTTGGAACACTGCCTGTTTTGTTTTGCGTCGGACTGCATCTGGACCCTTCTGAGGGTCATCTAAACGATTCCGGTGTTGATCACCACACCTACCGAGCTTCAGGATACCTTGACCCTGGCATGGAATGCGCCAGGACAAAGGAAGACATTTGAAAGGAAATTCAATTGTCCCATCTGTTCAACAAAAGGCTAAAGGCTCAGGATCCAACCAAATAGCCAAGACAGGCCCAGGAAACAAAAAACACACTCCACCTCCCCCCTCCTGGCCCCCGTCTCCCCCTCTCCCCCGGGTTCCCGGAACCTCGAGTCCAAGCGCCCGGGCCCAGGTCCCCCGCCATCTGCCCCGGCTGCAGGGCCGACTTGCACTCCGAGTGCTTCCGCGCCAGGGCCGGGAACCTCAGCCAATGAAGCGCACCCCCGCGCCGCGCTTCTTGCGGCGAAGCGAAGAAGCGGCGCACGCATGCGGCGCTTTTTGCGGTTTGCGCGGAACAAGGGCCCACCCCAACCCCCCCCCCTCCTCCCCCTTTTGTTGGACACCGGGTGTCTAAAAAGGGAGGGTGGAATCACAAAGGAAAATGTGTTATTCTGCTGGTGTTTGGGGTCCGTGGTGATAATTTTGGAGGGGGTACATGTTCTTTTCCGAACCCGCACATTGCATCAAGATCATTGCAGTAGTCATGGAAATGTAGGGAGGTGCGGGTTAGGATCCTCGCAGCCCAAGCCTTTCAGCAACATCCGTATGGTCTTCGACATCCCCACTTCGGGTGGCTGCACATGCGCCAGTGCCGTGAAGCCATTGAGACAACTTGAGAATAGGGTGTGGCTCAAAATTAAACAGGAGGGGTTACGCAGGTTTTGGTCCATGTTTCCACTTACCAGGGTTCCATTTTGGTTCCGGTTTTTTGAGCCACAGCCAATAGTTCCTTTCAACGCCTTTGGATGTGGCAAATGGCCGCACTTGGCGATCTTAGCGCGTGCTCCCAACGCTAGGCTCGGGGCTGGCTGACGTCCTTTGTCAGCGTCTCCTTCGGGCTGCGCTATGTGAGCGCAAAACGTTGGGGGGGGAGGAATCGACCGGCAAGGCACCCGGTGAAACTGAAAGAGGGCGTCGAGCGTATTTGTCAGCCAAAACCGGTTGCGACCAAGTCAGAGTCCAAATTTCCAGCAAAATACTCAGCTGTTCAGTGACAAAAACAAAAAACAAAAAAACAACTGCCACTGAACAACTGAGAATAGGCTGGCAAGCGCCCACCACGGGCTTCTGCTGTGCCCGGCCTTCAATCTCATCAGCTCCCGTTCTGCCTGGCTGGGTCACTGAGTCACGCGGCAAAAAAACGGGTGCAGGTACGTGCAGGTGGGCAAGCTCGGCCGTGCCAGAAAGGCACCGCTGCCCTCAAGAAACGCCAAACAACTTCTGAATACGCCCGCAACCACCCCCCCCACCGACAAAAAACACACACAACAAAAATCAAAATTAGCGGCAAGTCAGACCATCGAATTACTCCTCAACTCAAACTTGAGCGAGGATGGGCTGAACCCTGGCACACCGTTTGCCAGAAGTACCAACGCTGTCACCAGCCTGCTCTAAACAAGTCCTCTTCATAGCTATCCCGCCCGAACGCTTGTGAACCAGGCATGTGGAAATGGCAATCTAAGCAAGTGGAAAAGCCTGCGTCCGGGCAACCTGTGGCAGCAGGTTGGAAGCCAGCCCAGCCCAAACAAACCAGGAATGTAGTTTTTGGAGTCAAAATATGGAAACCCTGACTGAGCAAATGGCAATCAAAGCAAGCATCCGTGCAAGTATAATGGCAATGTGGGCAAAACAGTGCAGCCCGGACAGCGCGAGAATCGAATTCTCAGGCACAAATTTGTGCGAAGTCTACCGCTTCCCTTTCTGTTCCAGACTCTCTCATGGAAAAAAAACAACAAAACATGTCTCCAGATTCTCATGGACCCCACCGACCCCCCCCCCTTTGATTTGTGCCCACAATCTTGGCACCCAATCTCCCAAAGGTACACACCTCAAGGCCTCAAGGCCTACAAGGCCTACAAGGCCCTCAAGGCCCCCCCGCCTGCGCCAAGGGGCGCGTCACAGGGCCTCAGTCTACTCGTGCCGTCGGTTGCTCGAAATGGGCGACCAACCGCAGCCTCCCAACAAGTGACCCTTATAAAACAAATGGTGGTTTCATGTGGTTTCCTTTAAGGCAATCCCTGGGTTCATTCCCACCTTCCCTACTTCTCGCACCAGCAAGAACAGGGGGGCTCTAATTGAAACTCTGGTCGAAAAATATGCAAAACCTGCGCGGAGGTTGAGAGAGAATCTGCATCACCAACCCCAAAGCCGCTGCTTCTCACACTTCCCGGAGCCTGGTTACAAAGTCCTGCTGCACCACTCTGATCCCATGGGAAATCATTATTTGCTTGCATTTGCAAGGGAATGATCATTCCAGGGTCTCTTAGGTGGTGCGAAATGGATTTCGTCCATCCACCATATGTCAAGGGGAAATTCTCCATGCCCCATCCTTGATCTTCCTTGCCCAAGAACCCCACCCCCCGCCCGGGTGAAACCGGACTCCGGTTTTTTCCTCTTCAGATGCAGCCGATCCAGCGCGCAAGGCGCAGCCAGGACGGCAGGCCTCGAGTCGCGGCTGGGACTGGCTGGGACTTGGAGAAATTGTTCAGCCCACGCAATGGATGTGGGGCAATCAACCATTTGCTGGCAGGAGTCTTGTTTATTTTCCCCTTGGACATATTATTGGACCATCCGGCACCGTTCAGAAACCCTGGAATGATGACTTCACTTGTGAATACCAACAAATAATGGTTGCAACCATGGCTTCAACCTGGTGCGAAATGGATTTCGTCTTGCCACAGTGTGAGATTCTTTTTCAAAATGGGGATCTGAAAATGGGGGGTGCCCTTTGCTTGGGGTTGAAACTACCTCTTTTCAAGAGAAACTGAACCTGGCGCACAGGCACTTTGACTCTTTGACAACTGAGCTCCGAAGAAGCAAACAGATTCCACACCGCGCGCGTCCAGCTCGATGCTTCGGCTGACAGGCTAGGCCCTTGGAGGTTTAGCCGCCTTGTCCGGGGGGCTCAATGGGAACACGTCACTTAAGCCTGCCTTCTTCCATAGAATCACAAGCACTTCCCGCGTCTTCTGCGCGACATAGAGGTTCATGTTAAGCAAAGGTATTGGGAGTTCAGGTCACCAAAAACGACGCCCTTTGCCATGGGTTTGCATGCAGCAGCGGCAAAAAGCACGCTCAAGGGAAGCTTGATAGAGACCCAGAACGGGAACTAGTACTTGCGAACTCTTGCTCCACCACCGCCTGACCTTGTCCGAAAATCCTCGAAATGGCTGCGGAGGACATCGTTCACAAGTGGACTTATGGCCACTCACAACTTTTGAGGGGGGTGCGTTTTTTGTTCTTCAACTGGCTGGTGCGTGGAAGCCTCGAATTTGCTCATAGGCTCACTCATAGCTTTGTGATAACATGGCCATCCCCTGCTCATTTTTGTTGGTTCAACCTCCAGCCAGTGAATCAACGATTGCCCCACCCTTTTCACATGCAACCTGACATAACCTAACAGAGGGTCCCTTTAAAAGGAAATCGTCCAAACCAGAACCCTCCGGTCAGGTTCCACGCCAATTGGGAGGGTCCGGGTCAATGGCGGATGCTTGTCAAAAATAGCTGGTCGCCCCAAAATACCCCCTCCGGCCAATGGAAACAAGTTGGCCAAAACCTGCGGTCCATCTCCTGGTGGTAAAAAATAGTTGGTAACCTCATCGGGAAATGGACACAAGCTGACTAAAACCTCTGGTGGTGACCTTCTGTTTGACCCAAAGGGTGAGCTGGTAGCCCCAAAATACCCCCGCCCCACAAATAGAGACAAGTTCACCAACACCTGCGGTCCTCCTCTTGTGGTGGCGACGGTTTGAGTTTGACGCGAAGACGAAAAAGGCCCCAGCATGCGAGCCAGGGCGCTGGCCTCAGGCCGCGGTCCTTCTACTGGATGCATGAAGCCCTGCAAAGGCTGGGGGCAGACATCCGTATGGGTCTGTCCCTTCTTGGTTTGGGGAGGGGGGGGTCTGTTTGGGGGGGGGGTCTGTCCCTTCTTGGTTTGGGGGGGGGGGGTGGTCGGGGAGGCGGGGGGGGTTGGGGGCGTGATAAAGGAAAACTGAGATAAGGGACACCCTTTTCCCTATGTGAACCCATGGCATCCAGGGAAACATGAAATGAGCCAAAAATGACAAGCGGCAAGTCAACATCTTGGATTGCGCCGATTGAACTGCGAAAAACACCAGATGCTTTCCACACCAACCGAAAATTGACGCTGTCTCGCGCCTTTTGGCCCCCTAATACTCCCCCACAAACAGACACAAACAACACAATTTGGTAGTCACTCCCTGGCAAGTATCCGCATGAACCCCCGCGTGTTGAAGCTGACTGGAATGAGGAGTCATCTCCGGCCTAAATCACTCTACTCTGAAAACGATGAAAAGCTGATGCTTCAAACCCAGCCAAGAGAAGATATGGTGGAGCCTATTGGACGAGGCAGCACGTCCAGCCAGCGGATCAGGTCCAACATGGAAACCTTCAAAAATGCAAGTGTGAAACCTGTAAGGTGGCCCTTTTTGCAAGACTGCCCCCATCCTAGACCCTGGCGCGGCAGGGGCAGCGTTTCAAACCGGCAAGTTGAGGCTGCTCCTCCTCCTCCATGGGAGCTCGTGGTACCCAGACCCTACCATGCCGAACACGTTCATCTGCAAATGCACGTAGTCCCTGCAGCCCCTGCCAGGTTCAGATGGGTCAGATCCCCTCTCCGTTTCCGCATCCACGGCCCGTAGCGAGGCGCCCCCAAAAACATCACAACTGGCACGAGGACTGGGCTTCCGGAAATTTCACGGTCCAAGACTACCAAACCTTTGACCGTGAAATTCCAGGCAGAGGTGCTGAGGCGCCTCAGGGCGCTGAGGCCCAGAGGAGCCTCGAAGGAACGCTCGCAGCCAAGGAAGTCGCGCAGTCCATCCGTGATGCTCAGAGGTGTCCTTTTGGGAAAACAGATGGCCCGGCTGGATGATGAAACGGTCAGGTGTGACCTGGTCACAGGCCCCTGGTCTACTTTGGGATATGTAGTCAATGTTCGGAAACCATCAGTTCCCCCTCCAAAACAAGCTTGGAGTTGAAGGCTCTTTCTTGGTTTGACTGTGAAGCCAAAAAGCAGCCCATTGCAGTTGTGGCGGTGGCAAGCTGGAATTGAAGTGCCGACACAAGGTTGGCAATGCTCACGATATCCAGCGCCACATCCAGCGCCTGCAAGATTGCGCAAAATGCGTTTAGACATCCAGACCCAGTAGCGCCCTGCGGGAGCCAAACAGAGGCTGCTCAAACCGGCATCTACGTGAAGGTTGGACACCCAGCCAAGGTTGCGCACACCAGTTGTTTAGACAGTGCCCAACCCTCCCTACCTGTCCAACCTTCACATAGGTAGTCGGGTGGCTGGACCTTGTGCGAACGCGTCGCCTTCTTTGCCGTGTCAATAGGTCAGCAGGGAATGACCCGCCTTCTCACCATGCATCATACGTTGCAGTTCACACAAAACTTTAGGGATGGCCCGGAATGGTTGCAAGTGTACAGCCCTTCCACGCCTGACACAAGCCCTCCATGTTGCTCCATGTCGCTCTACCTGAAACGCGGTTTCACGCGAAGCTCCATTTGGTCCGTGGCTGGGCAAGCCATCGAAGGCCTGCTGAACCGGGCCGCCAGTCATCCGCCTCCACCCCGAGGCGAGGGACCGCCACGAGCCACCACGCGGAGTGCCATTTGGCGAGCAAATGAGGTGAGCTCTCTAAGTCGCTCAGTGAGATTGAGAGCTGCAGGCGTCACCAGCTTAAGGTCCCTTGATTCTCCAACTTAAAGTGTACATCCACATATGGCCGAGAGGTGACTTTTAGGTAATGCGTACAAGGTGGGAAGGTGTGGGAACCCTCTGGTTTTCCCCAAGGCGGGTGTTAAACTGGGTCCAGAAGTGTGACATTCTCAACTTTACCCTCTGAATAGTGACGTCGAACTGGAAACAGGCCAGGACCCCCACAACAGACATGTCGAAAGGGGCCCCGAAATTGCGGGGACCCCACTGCTCGGTCGATTCCCAGCCTCGAGCTCCTGCGTTCCCAAGGGGCACGGCAGCTTGCCAGAGCCAAAGACCCCCCGCTCCAGGTCCCAGTCACGATAAAAGTCCTCAGTGTCGGCTTTACTTGGAGGTTGGTTTGACCAGGGTTACACTGCTGGGTTTGACCGTTAGTTTGGGGTCTCCTCCATGTTTTTTTTTAAATAAATGTCTTGTATCCCAAATTGTGGGATACAGAAATTGTTGCTTCTTCCCACAGGAAAAGGCCGATCCCGGAAACTTTAGGAATCACACCTGGTGGGTTCATAGGGTGTGCGTGTCTCCAATGGTTACTCGGTTGACGTTGGAAGGGGAGCAAAAATTATCAAATCTTAGCAGTTAAGTGTAGATTTCAACCACTAAACCACAGCAAGCAAAAATGGGAAAAATAATCCCGACGACAGCCATGGTTAAGGCTACCCTCTTGAAAGGGACCGGATCCGAATCCACCTGGGTTCAAAGGGAAGCCACTGGTTTTTCATATCCTCATCCATTTAGAGAGAAAGCTCTCGCATTCCTGGTGCGATAAGCAGGGAATGTGGTTGAATGAACCCAGGCCTGTGGTCACCTTAGAGGAAACCACCAGGATGGTGGCCGCCAGGGTCATTCCCTCATAGGAAGTATTCCGTGCCTCATGGACAACCTGCAAACGCCATGCTTGGTACAGCATGCAAATGTAGAGAGTTGCTGGGGCGATTCCACCATATTGCCTACTAGCAAGCAAGTCACTGAACGGGTCGCGGAAAGTTGACGGCTAGTTTGCTTTTGGAAACCGGGATATCCTTTCAAGTCTTAACCGGACCCTGTGCAATGCCCCGATGGCCTGATACCAGTAGTGGCCGATCAAACAGCACACGGATTTCCCACGGCCAAACATGCGAGCACATATCCAAGCGCGCAGGGTGGAAGCTGGTCGATGTTTGATTCACTCATAGATCTCATTGCTAAGGCAGCGGCGTAGTCGTGCCAGTTCCAGAAGAACCTTGGCATCTTGGGTTGCAATACCCTCAGCTCTCTCTGCCCACTGCCATCAACATGGAGATCCCCTTTGACAACCTATCAACATCAACATGACATGGAGATCCCTCAACCTATCCCCCATGGATATCCCCCATCAACATGGTTTTTCATATCCTCAACCCACTGCCAAAAAAAACGCTGAGCTTGTTGTTTCCCACAAATGGTCGAACCACCCGGCCCCTTTCGGGGGGAACAACCAAAAGGCCAAGGCCGCTTCCGCCCTCGTCGCCAGTCTGGTTGCCCGCTCAACCCGCTCATGCCCGAAGCTTCAGGGCGGGGCCACCCATGGCTGGCGTGATTGTAGGCGAGCACCTGCCGGGTGGGGCTGGGCGGGGCTTGGGCTAGGCTGGGGTCAGTTCAGACTTTGGACAAATGACAAACAGATCCCATCCAACTTGTGGCATCCGTTTGGGAAACACATAGAGGTTTCAGTGACTTAGCACAGGGCAGAATCGCCCGGTCAAGGATTTGGATTCGACAAATCAGCTGGTAAACTTGCTGGTGCTCAGTAGGGAATGAGGGACTATTCTGGCTTTCTTTTTGGGGATCCCTGGGTTCATGCCCTCATTCCCTAGTGAGCACCAGCAAGTAATGTGAGTTTCAACGTGGCCTCAGGCATCCTGTTGGCAAGCCTGCAGGTCTGTCTTACTCTGTTGCCAGCGCCTGGTGGGAATCGGAATGGGTTGCAAGAACCCGGCGCCCCATTGTGAGTTCTGTGTCGGGCTGTCAAACAGGCGCCAAAAACTGCATGCTCTCAAATGGGTTTCACGCAGCTTCCCGTTCAAAACTGCCTGCAGAAGGGTCCAACACACAGCCAGACGGGCCTTGAAACTGGGTTGGTCTGCTTGCACTAACCAAGACAGATCTTTTTTGAGGTCGCTCTCAGTTGCCTGGATCTATGTGAGTTGGCCGGCGCCTGACGTTGATTCCATGATCAATCCCCCAGTGATTTAATAGGTCCTCCAGTACATAGGTTACCCAACTTTTTTCAGTTGTCTGTTTTAGTAGGGGAACCCCCCCCCCAAAAAAAAAACGCGAAGCGGTAAAAGGGCACCTAGCTGGGGGACCTAGTTTCTTTCAGGCTTGGCCATCCACCCCAAGCGACAAAACGCCGCGCCTGCTTCCTGGCAAAGTCTGCCTGCTCCTCCTCCGGAAAGGGCCCTGGCCTAGCGAAAAGCGTCAAACCTTCCACTGGCTGTGGCCTATGGCTATCCGTACCTTACAAAGCTTACAAGGAACCCTTGGAGTCCAAGTTCCCAAGGCTTGATCACCACTGCCAACCATGAGTAAGAGGACGTTTGCAGCGAATGGCTTGGAGTCTGTCCCACAGCGTGTACCTTTATCATGTGCCAAGGGCGACTGGGAAGTTTCTACCGGAGAGTCCGGAGAGTCCCTCCTTCGGTTCACGGACAGTGCTGGCGGCCTGATGTTTTTGTTATGGTCGCGTCTACTTGGCCCAACACCAGGCCTAGAGCATCGCGATTCGTCCCAAGCAGTGTTTTTCTTCCATCTTCTTGAATGCTTCTGGGGATCCTCCGCTATAAGGGGTGTGAGGCTGTCGATGTCCGCAAAGTTCCGGATGCCGTTGGGCGTGTTCCTTTGAGTATGGCCTCAAGTTGAGTCATTACCAACCTTTATTGCGGCTTTCCAAAAAGACAAACAACGAAATGAGAACCATCCATTTTGTAGGTCCTCTAAATACAGACACTCAGATGCCCAGTGGCATGCCTTTCTTGTGCGGTTGCGTTTAGAGGGGAACCCTTCCCCCCCCAAAAAAAGAAGAAGAAGAAGAAGAGGAAATCCACTGGGCAACTGGAAGGCACATCCGTTTCAGCCCAGTCCACCCGCCTCACCCGGCACCACAAAGCCCTGGGCTCGCCTGGAGAGACTCCACTCCCCCACCACAGCCCCCGGGAGCAGGTGCAGCTCCATCGCATGGCCCGACACAACCTGGTGTGGGCCCCACTTCTTGGCTGGAATTGGCCCCAGCGATTGTTTTTTTGGTTTTGCCTGGTTGGTGGAAACAAAGGGACCCCCAAAAAGCAAAAAACAACAAAAGGGGAGCTAATTCTGGGGAAGACTTCTCGGCAAGATTGGTGTTTTGGTTGTGGATGGAATCTGCAAATGTTATAAGATTTCTAAAACCGGAAATGGCTGTGGGTCTGGTGGTTTAATTTTGACCCATACCCAAATAAGAATCGGATCCACAAGGAAAGGATCTTTGCCACGGGGAGCTCGTGCTACCCCCAGGTGAGCTCGCCATAAACAATTGAATGCAATGAAACTTGATGGCCCTGCGGCAGTATTCGCAAGAAACACACTTCAGGATTTCCAGGTTCTACTTCTAAACCCACTTCAGAAGTTCCAAATTTGCCAAACCGATGTATTTTACCTCGCGAATTCCAAAATTCGGACCCAAGCGCGACATCATGGGCTCTCGCTTCTTTTGTGAATCGCCGATCCGATAAAAACTCAGACCACATGCGCGTATCATGCTTGACCACTCTTGTCTTGCTTAAAATCCTTCTGAAACCAGTCAAAACCAGGGCGAAACCGGTCAAACACCAGGGGGAAAGCAGTAGAGTGATCCTGCCTCCCCCTGAAGCTGCGGCCGGCCACGCCTCCACGTGCTGAGCATGCGAGAGAGCCTTCCAAATCACCGAGAAGTCATGATAGTAATGGAGGTCGAACCTCAGCTGGGCGGCGTTCAAAGAGCTGCTTTGTTGGAAGCAAGCTGCACCGCAGCGGTAGAATGAATGCGTGCATAATTCAACAAACAACTATGTACATAGGTCTGGAACCCAACATGCCGCATGCGCACAAATATGTGCATCGCCGTAGCTACGTATTCGGCTGGCTTTCGTTCGTTTCGCCAGCATAAGCACGCTCGGCACTTTTCTACAGCAAGCCAAGCCAGACTCAACATCACCTAGGTCCTCCAGTAGAGAGGTTAGAATAAGGGTAACCTTTGTTCTGTAGTCTATTTTAGTAGGGGAACCCTCCCAAAAAAGGGTAAAAGGGCAGCACTGGGGGACCTAGTCACTCAAACATACCCATGGGATCCTGAGAGAAATGTCTTTGACAGAGGCATGCCGCTTTTAGGGCGGTGTGTGGAACCAAGACAGTGGAAGAAAGCCGGCGCCAAGCTGCGACTGGATCCTCCCTGCATCATCCGTGTGATTGAGTGATTGATGAATTCCACACATCCTAGTCACCGCGGAAGCTGTGCCCTCATGCCTACCAAAAATTGTGTTTTTTTCCGGCGCTTTTTCCCGTTTCACCCTCCCTTAGATTCGCGACCACATCGCATCTGCCGGGCCCTCCAAATTTCGCCAGGGAGCGCGACATTGTCGTATCTCAGCCAGTTGCCCCGCTCCTGCCAGCACCTGGTGATCTCCTTGAGGCGCCAATGGGTGAACACCGGAAGCCTCGGCTCAAAGGCGCGAGACAGGCGTCATAGACCGGGCTGAGAGAACAGGACACCGAGCAATGAACGCCCACCAACCATTGACGATGGGACCAAAAAAGGCACCCTTTGCTCTGAGACTACCACATCCCTTAACTCCTGGTAGCTCCGATTTCGTCTCCCTCTTAGGCAAACTTGGCTACCCCAGCTCCAGAACGGCTCCCTTCCAACTAGTTTACAGGGAAACCCACTCCAACGCAAACTCGAAAACTGGCACAACGCAAGGTCGGAGGGTTTAGGCGATCCCTTTCGCGCCAACCAAAAAGGCACGCCCCGTGCCTCCCAAGGGGTGCGGTGTGAGCGGGTTCCTTGCAAAAGCCTGCGGACTAATGTCAACCCCAGATTAAAAAAATCCTCGCTTGTTACTCAGGGGTCTCCTTTTAGTGCGCAGCACATCCACAGAAACCCACACCATAAATTGAACATGCGCATTGTACGTGCTGCAAATTCCCGTCTGTTTAGGACGAATGCTGCCGTGTGTATGTGTTGAACCCTTCCGTATCCAAGTTTGCAGTCACGTTTTGAGAAAGCTTTCATGCTTTTGCCAGTTGCGGGTTCAAAAGCTCAGCCTGCAACAAAGCAGGGCACCGCCTGGATGGGTGCACTTCTTCTGCGCCAAAAGCGATCTCAAGACCGCGCCCATAAAGAAGTAGCTGCTAGCAACTGACGCTAGTGCTCGCAAGGGTGGAGAGCATGCAAAGAAGGCAAGCGCGTTCACCCAAAAAGACAGGAAGCACGCACCATCGCCCGGCCTGCTCAAAACAAAGTTTCTAAGTACGGCACGTGGTCCAGTTCTGGCATTGGTGCTATTACGGGGAGGTGTCCACGCTGCCGCCATCTTTTGTGAAACGGCAAAAGCTAAGGGTCGGCAAGATCTGACGTATACCGTGAACCACGCGCCATCTGCAAGGCCTTGAGTGCTCCATCGCGGTATCCAAGGAAAACACGTCTCTGGCTGGTGACGAGGGTTCCTTTCCCTCCACCCCCTCACCCAGCCGTTTGAAGATGAAGCCCATGGAGCACGCTGGCTTTTAGTAAAAAAATATTTCTTCCAAGTGGCGGCCCTGATTAGCACTAGGTCTTCCGGTAGAGAGGTTAGAATAAGGGTACCCTTTCTTCTGTTTTTCGTAGGGGGACCCTCGCCCAAAAAAGGGTAAAAGGGCACTACTGGGGGACCTAGAGTGACTGGGGGTGTGGCACACACCACTCCCAAGCGCCCGGCACAACGGCAACTCTCGCTGAGCTCATGCCACCATCGCGGATCGCCTTGCGGCCGACATGCTGGACTGGGTGTGTACGAGGGCAAGTGGGCTGGCATTGGAATTAGGAACGGAAAAAAGGTGTCGATAGCAGGTTCGCAGGAACCCTTCTTCCACACTCCTGAAGAGGAAGCGTGGCCGGTAAAGGCTGCTTCCAGGAAGGAAATTCTGCAAGGCAGCAGCTTGACATCACAAACAGACCGCACATCTCGGAATGCGTAGTTTCTTCCGAGACGCATTTTCCGAGAAATGGCGATGGCCTTGTTTCACGAAACCGGCAGCTGCATGTTGCCATGGCTCCTCTCCTAGCAGTCATTCGGTTACTTGTGGTTTCCCAATGCCACAAAATAAAAAGCCGGCCAGGAGAACCCCTTCCCCATGGAACCAGCCTCAATGGCACGTTCGTAGAAGTCACAGAGCCTCACGACCGGCGTGCGAGAACCCTCATCTCTCATCTGGGCTCAAGATTTGGGTCCCTAGTCACTTAGTCCCAATCCAGAATCCAAAACGGGACACCACTGCAAGGGAACCACGAAAACCACCATCTGGCTTCAGATTCAGGTTTGATGCTTGAACAAGCCCAGATTCCTGACCGCTGCCCGGGTCCTGGGCCTCTCCACAGGAATGCTCTCCGCAGGCTCGTTGCACACCTGCGCTGGGGGGCCCTAACTGGTACCCCCGCACCAGTCGTAAATTCAACCCCCTAGTGGGCTCAGGCTTCTCCTATTCAAACTTGGAAGGGAAATTCACCCACCCTTTCCTCGGCGGAATGTTCAGGAATGTTGCATTTGATGGAAGACGTTTCTCCTTTAACTTGAGTTTGTTGCTGCTCGGCTTGCTAAGCCACGTCGGCGATTGTTTGGATCCATTCCCAGCAAGATGTATCACTCTCACAACCTCACCATGCCAAACACCAATGCCAATGTAGAAAGTGTAGCAAGCCTCAGCCTGTCCGCCATCCAGCCAAAAGCCAACTAATCAAAACAAACCAGCCAGGCAACTCATCGATTCATGGCCTGCCTGAAGTCCGGTGATGCAGGACTTGTCGTGGTAACGTTCGGCCAACTTGCCCAGGATGCGCACAGCCTTCGGATGGAACAGGCCGAACAAATAACCAGCGACAATCAGAATTCGTCCGTCGGGACTCCACCGTTAAGGGGACAGCCAACCTCCAAAAGCTCCAAAAGTGATCTGGATCCCTGCACAACTGAAACACACCCACACACACACACCAATAAACAAACTTTTGGAACCCCTAGAAGGCTCCCCCCTGCCATTCTTACAGGGTCGGGTGTCCTCTTGAGAGGTACCCGCTTTGGGTTTGCCTTTCTTCCCGGGAAACCCGAACGTTGTTGCCTTCGAATCAAAGATGCCGTTAGGCAGCTCGATGGAATCAAAATAGATTTAATTAAGTAAACCTAAGTAAGCCTAACTAAGTAATGGAACCGCGTACACAAGAAGTCGACAAGCTGAGCAGATTTAGCAGCCCAGCAGGCCATTTTGAACTGAGGGGACCCGAGGCGGAAAAAACTCGGCGGAGCGATGATGGCAATTCTAGTTGTTAATGAGCAGTTCCTGAAACCTGATCATCCAACAATTTACCTCAGCGTAATTTCCGTCCAGAGCTCAGCGTGCTCAGCATTGTGCACATTACTAATTTGCCTACAGCAAACTTGTGAACCCAAAAGAAAAGGCTTGCAGCCCGAAGGGATGCAATGCTTCTCCTACCATTACCAGCCTGCACAACTAAAATATTGGGGTGTAGAACTATTTCGCAGAAGGACCTCAGCTTGAGAAGCATTCAGATTTACAACTGGTTTTGAGTGTTGCATGTTAGTTGCAAATAATTGTGGGCTCAATAGTGTAAAACATTATTACATCTCAGCTTGACAGGCATTGTGTTTAGGATTGTCGAGCGTTGAAGGTTTGCAACTTAGTTCTAAATTATTGATCTGGGTGGTGAGCATTCTTTTCCAAAATAGGTGCAGCTTACAATTATGCATGATGCATGTTTCGTGATCGCTTGAGCGGTGCACAAGCCCATTGACTATTGGTTCGACCATCATATGCTGTAAATGGGGGGGTATGAAACCGGGTGGGAACCGAACCACCCTCTACCCTCCATCCCATAATTGGAAGATTTTGAGAAGAAGACTTTCCTTTTAGGTCCACTTCTAGTGTTGCAAAAAGAGTAAACATACAATTATTTGAATCAAACAGCTGTTGGGGGTGGAGTTGGTGTGAAGCCAAGTGATTCCAAACCGAAAACCGAAGCGAGTACCACGGAACTCACCACTCTCCCCCCCCTGCACGGTAGAGGCTCCCCCCCCCGCCCCGCCCCCCCCCTCCCCCGTACGATGGCCATCGTACGCTTGGAGGTGTTGCAAGCTCCGTGGCCATTTCCTTCTTGAAAAGGAAGAAACTGCTTGCAAATTAGACCCCCCCCCCCCCCACAAAATCCCAACAAAAACAGACACACACACACACACACACACACACACCGGCGCCTCATCCTGGCGCCAGTCTTCCCATCGCCAGGCTGAATTCTTCCGGCCGCAGGGCCGCTCACCGCTCTCCCCGCCAGGGTTCCCATGGAGGTCCTTGGCTCGTCAATTTGTTTTTGAGGCTCGGTACCCTTCTTTTGGTTTTGGTGTTTAAAGGGAAACCAAAAAGGAAATGCCACTTGTGTGTGTGTGTGTATGTGTGTGTGTGTATGTGTGTGTGTGTATGTGTGTGTGTGTGGGTGGGTGGGTGGGTGGGTGGGTGGGTGCGTGCGCGCGCACGCGCGCGCGTGCGTGCGTGCAGCCTTTTTTTTTAAAGGGGGGGGTCCCCCCCAAACAAAAAACACCCAGCTTGGCCTTGCAACGTTTGGGTTGGTCTTTGCGTTTGTTTTTGTTTGTCGTCGTTTTTTGCCCTGGTTGCTGTTGTTCTGCTGTTTGGCCGCATATGCTGCAAATTTGCTAGCGCGTTATTTAGGGAGCGCCGCACAACCCGTGACCCGCCAATTGCGAAGCTTCCAACAAGCTTCCCATTGGCTGCCCTCTAGAACCGCAAAAGCAACGTTGGTACAGCTGGGGCCGCTCTGGTCAAAACCGCAATTCTGGCGCGCCCCACGAAATGGGACTGAGATAGGGCCATCACCACTGGTCAAGAACGAAAAGGCTAAATCCAGCTGCTCCCAAAAGTGAGAAAGCAAGAGGCTCTCAGCAAGCAAAAAGGTTTTGCATCACTCGGGCCCGGTACCAACTCCAAGCAAAATTGTCAAATTCCATGCTAGCTGGTGGGAGGGTATTCCCTAAGAACCCGCCAAGTCAAAGCTACCGTTGCATGGCGATTTCTCAAGATTGCGCCAACTACCTTCCTGGGGATGTCCTTTTCAGGGATTAGCTCAAAATTATGATATATTGTCTTTCTACAAACTTGGGGTTGGGGGAAACCCACATTTGAGCCACAGCAGCATTGTCGAAACCACTATTCAGCCAAAACCAGCTCGCAATACTGGATGATGCACAAGTCTTCATGTCCGATCTGACTCCAAAAGGACATGGCTGGCATCCGTTCGGCTACCAATCTACCAAGTGCTCCCGAGAGGTGGTTTCCTTTTAGTTCCCCTCGAAACCAACCAAACAAGGGCACCCTCAAATAGTTCCCCCAAATTGGGGCGGGTTGTTGACAACATGGCGGCGTTTTGGGGGGACTCCCACTCTCCGTGCGCAGAATGATGTCAGGGTTCCGACAGGTTCTGCCCCCCCCCGTTTTGTTGGGCACGCAGGAAGAAAACTGAGCCAACCCCGCTTCATTCTCATAAGCCCTCAAACACTTTGCTTCCCAGTCCCCCAGTTCCCAATGGCTTGACTTACCCCTGGAATCCCCATGAATCCCTGGGGTTGGGGGTCCTTGACTCAAGGGTTCCCAGACCTACGTACCAAGCTTTCGCCATATGCATGGGGGAAGCAAAAAGAAGAAGCTGTGAAGGTTGGCTGCCCAATTTCACCAGCTTGGCCACTGGTGAGGGAACACCCGGTTTGGGATTCATTGTTTTAGAATCACCCGCAGCGCCCTTTTGGCCCATTGACGCTGCCATAAAGCTTTACAGCCCAAAAAGCTGACCCTCATACTGTGGATGGGCGAAATCCATTTCGCATCACATAAAAAAACCCTGGACTGATGTTTCCCCTCAGCATACCAACAAACAACGGTTTCAACCAGGGTTTCCAAATGGTGCGAAACGGACTTCGTCCATCCACAGTGTCGATGGAAGAACTCCATTTCGCACCAAAGAAACCCTGGAATGCTCTGATTCCCTGGGAAATACCAACAAACCCCTGGTTTCAACCATGGTTTCCATGTGGTTTCAACCATGGTTTCAACCATGGCTCCCATGTTTTCAACCAACCACCGATCTTTCCCGTTTCAACCTGGTGCACTAGGCCCATGGGTTCCCAAAACCCCCCGCAGGCCCCCCGCGCGCCCAACCGCGCCGGGGCCCAGCCGCTTCCCGAGGCCGAGGGGCCAAGAGGAGCTGAAGCTTCGAGTCCTCCACCAGCCGCACCGCGGCGTCCAGCGCCTCCACACCTCGCCCGCGCGGATCCCGGCGGAGCCCGGCGGTCCCGGAGCCCGGCGGAGCCCGGGTGCCGGGTCCCACGCTCACGAGCGCAGAAAAATGCGCGGCCACTCAAAACCCAGAAACATATATATATATATATATACAATACGTAGTATACATCAGAAGGACAAAAGTTTATGCCTCTTGATGGTTTCTGCAAAGCCGTGTGGATCACCCGCGGATCGAATTTCCAACTCCTTTTCATGTGGCAGGAGTGGGACGGTCAATTATCACCCTCTTTTAAATTTAAAATACTTTAAAGGCTTTGGAGTGTGACAATTCGACCGCGAATGACCCAGCAACAACTTGCAGGATTCTAGGGGGAAAGGGTTGCTTTTTCTGAGAAGGCCCAAGAGGCACAACTTTTGTCCTGGTGGTGCGTCACGGGAGGGGTGTTGGGTGACAGGCTGCAGACGAGTGATGCTCAATTTTTGTCAATGTGCAGAACTATGTGTTTGGACCTTCCCTTGGCAACCGTTGCGAGGATCAGACACTTGAAGAGGCAAGCAGACAGGCATGACATGCGCATGCAAGCGCCCAGTTTTGCATTTCTCCAATGTCGCACACCAGTACTTCACCTGCCAGGTTGAAGTTTTCTGCTGAACAAAGCAGGCAAATCTGCGCCACTGATCCAGGCCGTCAAAAGATTGGTAAGTGAGCAGAGCTGCAGTGGCTTCAGCCCGATAGCCAGCCTCACTCGCGCACGGTCTGCCTCTAGCATCTCTTTGACCCAAGGCGCTTTCCCACTCGGCCTTTTGCAGCTTTGCGGAAGACCTTACTGCAGGCTTCGCGTAGGGCTTGTGGATCAGAGTCTCGGTTGACGCCGGGTGCCACTTGGAGCAGGGCGGCTGCTGCCAAGAGGGCAGAGACAAAAGCGCGTTGGCATACTTGGAGGTGTGAATCCATGAGGAAGCACGAGAAGTAACACCGGACCGACCTATCCTAGCACGGACTTGAGCGTAGAACAGGCCATGTTTTCAGTTTAACAAGACCAGCTGGATGCTTTCAAACATGTGGCGGTGGACTGCGTCACGGGAGGGGTGTTGGGTGACAGGCTGCAGACGAGTGATGCTCAATTTTTGTCAATGTGCAGAACTATGTGTTTGGACCTTCCCTTGGCAACCGTTGCGAGGATCAGACACTTGAAGAGGCAAGCAGACAGGCATGACATGCGCATGCAAGCACCCAGTTTTGCATTTCTCCAATGTCGCACACCAGTACTTCACCTGCCAGGTTGAAGTTTTCTGCTGAACAAAGCAGGCAAATCTGCGCCACTGATCCAGGCCGTCAAAAGATTGGTAAGTGAGCAGAGCTGCAGTGGCTTCAGCCCGATAGCCAGCCTCACTCGCGCACGGTCTGCCTCTAGCATCTCTTTGACCCAAGGCGCTTTCCCACTCGGCCTTTTGCAGCTTTGCGGAAGACCTTACTGCAGGCTTCGCGTAGGGCTTGTGGATCAGAGTCTCGGTTGACGCCGGGTGCCACTTGGAGCAGGGCGGCTGCTGCCAAGAGGGCAGAGACAAAAGCGCGTTGGCATACTTGGAGGTGTGAATCCATGAGGAAGCACGAGAAGTAACACCGGACCGACCTATCCTAGCACGGACTTGAGCGTAGAACAGGCCATGTTTTCAGTTTAACAAGAGCAGCTGGATGCTTTCAAACATGTGGCGGTGGACATCAGAAGGACAAAAGTTTATGCCTCTTGATGGTTTCTGCAAAGCCGTGTGGATCACCCGCGGATCGAATTTCCAACTCCTTTTCATGTGGCAGGAGTGGGACGGTCAATTATCACCCTCTTTTAAATTTAAAATACTTTAAAGGCTTTGGAGTGTGACAATTCGACCGCGAATGACCCAGCAACAACTTGCAGGATTCTAGGGGGAAAGGGTTGCTTTTTCTGAGAAGGCCCAAGAGGCACAACTTTTGTCCTGGTGGTGTATATACTATATATATATATATGGGTGTATGCCCAAATATTCACAGGATGCTTGTTTCTATAGAGAAACTTACCCCCATATGTTCACAGGATTGTTGTTCATGATGTTGTTAAACCGATGGTGTTCCATTTTTTCCCTTCAAGGGGGGGCAGGGCGATCGTTTGAAGGAAACTTTGCCCAAGGCTGGCTGCAAGTGAACATCCTGGGAGCCATGGGCAAGGAACGGAACCACACAACCCCCCGGCCAGCTGAACAAAACAACATGCAAATTGTCGGTGCTCAGATTTGGAGACTGGAGTTGATGCTCATCTGGTGTCCCGGCTGGTCCCAACCTACATGCAAGCACGCTTAAGGCCCAAAACTTGCCTTGACACGCTTCCAAACACTGACCTCGGCAAAGCTGGCCACCTCCCAAAACCAGTATGCATCCCTCCTCACCCAAGATCAGTGAGGCTTTTTGCAGACCCCTCAATTGAGACACTCAAGCACTGGCCGGCTTGCTGATGGCTATGCCAGCAACGCGCATCACGCGTGTCTCGCCCCGATCCAGCACATTGGCTACCAAGGCCTGTTGGCCCTTCCAAAAGTCAGCCCCCAAGTTGACAAGGAAACTGACTTGACCCCTGGAAACAGCCAACTAAATCCCCCCACTTGAATTTCAGACCCCCCCCCCCCCCAAAGAAAAAGAAAAACAAGACAAGCGCGCATCCTTCTGGAGGAGTCCTTTTTGGGGAACCTATTTGCCCATTCCAGGGTTCCGTGCCTGAAAAATGCCACGCAGCTTGCTGAGCCCGCCGCAGGGCCCGTCGAAGGCTTCCCCCTCGCCTGCAAAAAACGACACTGGTGGGAACACAACGTCCATCTGCTGGTTCCCAAAGGTGTCATGGAGTACGACCGGTTCCAACTTCAATCCATGTTCTTGTCTTTTCTCTCTCTCTCGCCCACTCCAGCTGTGCTTCCGTGTCATGCAAGATGGAAAAGGCAAAGCCCCTCAGCCCCACACAACCATTGCCAACGAATTACCCCCCTAGGTTCATAGCTTGCATAACCCCCCCCTTGACACCCCCCTTCCAAAGCAAGACCAAATTAAGAGGACACATAAAATTAAGGCCTTATTAAGGCCTTATTAAGGCTTTCTCACTCTTCTTCTCTTTCCCTGCCTTTGATCCACAAGGCCCCACTTCGTGAGGCAAAGCCATTGCCATTGAAGCCATCAGATCGCGTATCAACATTCCTACCCAAAGCTGCCAAACGGCATTCCTGCGCAGCATCGAATCAGTGGAACTTTAGCTTACGAAGCTTGCGGCTTGCGTCCCGGCTGCTCAGCATCTTATTAATAATTGAAATATAATAATATTACATTTATATTGTGTGCTTAAAACTTGTAATCATAATATGTATTTGTATACATTTCGCACTACTCCAAGATGACAACACAAGTGGCGGCTTCTCCATTCATAGGAAGAAATAGCCGCTCGCCAAAAAATCCGGCCGCGAGGGCCATGGACCAGCCTGGCTCCTCCAGCACCCAGTAGCCCAGCGGCAAGCGTACTGCGTTCAAGCCACAGGACACAATCTTGGCCAATGTCTCAGCCTTAGGCAGCGATCACTTTCCGGTTGGAGGAGCAATTTTGTGGGGTTCAAGTGTTTGTTGAAACTTGGCTCTGCCTTGCAAAATGGAGAGGGGCCCATACGCAAAGTCCCTGAGATTGACAGGACTTGTGGCGTGGGACGTCTCACAGTCCGAAAGCTCTCCTCCAAATCGAGCAGCGTGGGGCAAGGGGAAGAGGCAAAACGCCAAGCGGCATGTAGGTGGAAATCCCCTAAGCCTCAAGCTTCAATATCAGACAAAAGGCGTGACACAACAACTCGTTGCCCATGACTCGTTTGCACCGAATCCTCCCGGTCGAGTGTCGAGTCTGCCCAGTGGCGGTGTAGTGCGACTCCCGGTGCTTCCTGAAGACTTCGCGCCTGGACAGCGTTTCAAACTAAATGAGTTGGACCTCCCTCCTCTTGCTTGGCTTCCTGGCTCCCCATTCAAACCCACCAGCAACCTAAAAGCCTGGGACCCTGAGGTCTCCTCAGGTGACCTGGCTTCTTCCAGTGGCTTGTAGGCCCAGGAGGTAAGGAGCTCAACAAAAACCAGCGCCAGGTTCGGAGGGCGGCCCCGCCACACAAAGCGCAAAATTGGGCACCAGGAGCCACCCCTATTCCAAACTTTGGGGTTTGAGCACCAGACCAGTGTCCAATGGTGTTCAAACAAGTATATAACCCATGATTGACAGTTAATTGAGCCATAAGCTAGGTAACCAACAAGCTAGCCACTGATTACAGAGCCGGCAATCCTGGGAGGTTGTTCCAACCACTCTGCTCGATTCATCAGCTCGTGGTATAATATTTTTCCCATGTGGCTGCACCGGCGCACTCTCTATTGAACCAGCCCGCCACACAATTTCACCCACGAGGAAGGCCACAGCACGCACCCGACGCGTAGAGCCCTTGACAGCCACATAAGGGGCAGCGCCTGGCGAATACGACCAGATGCCCGTCGCCCATTTTTGGCGATGCACCTGCATGAACAAAGTCTCCTTCATCTCACTTTCCAGGACCTGGAAATACAAAGCTTAAGCTGGATCACCACGTCATACAAACCAAACAAGTGCCAACACGAAACAACAGAACAAGCCAAAAAGGGCAAAACCTGGAATGACAAAACAAAGGTAGATTTGCTTTGGGCAAAGTCACTTCAGCCCCCGGCAGCCAGGACTGAAAAGCCGAGGCTCCGCAGATCGGCGCCGCCAAGTGCCGTCAACGCAACGCACAAGCCGTGCTCGTCTTCGGGCACCTTCCGCGCGTCCTGACGAGTACGATTTTGCGTCGAGCGCGTGTCGCGCCCGAGGCTTTCAGGAAAAACCGGGCGAGCGCGTTCTGGGGGTCCCAAGAAGACCGTCGCGATGATCAAACGCTTAGAGCAAGATATGTGTGTGTGTTTGCCCACTGTGAGTGGGCGGGCCAACTCCTAAACCCTTCATGACTGAAAGGCCGTCTGGCGTTGGGAAGCGGTATTTTACAACTCTGGACTCAAGCGGAAAACTTCCAAACCTTACACTTGCAGAGTTGCAAGAGCCGCTAAAGGGCCTAACCCAGTTGCACAGGGGGGGCTCTGGGTGGCTTGGCTCCGGAAGGCTGGGCCATGGCCACCGTAACCAAACCTCGGACATCAAAAGGTCACGGCCAGAGGGACATCAAAAAGCGCAAGCCCACCGCCCAAACTCCACCCCCGAATCCCGTGTCCCCAATCTTTCAAGCAACATCCAAAGGTCATAGGTTGTAACCATGGCTAAAATGGGCTAAACCTGCGTACTGGGGTTAGCCCCCGATACGACTCGATTCCCACGAACACCAACAGGGGGAAATAACAAATATTTATTTCAGCAACTGGAAGCTGGGATGCATGGAACACCTGCCCGAAACCTCAAGAAAAACTGACCTCCCAGGCTCAACGCCTCTCCCCCAGGCAAATGAGCAATTGCCTTCTCTCTGCCAGTGATCTCCGCAATCTGTGCCTGCGCGCCACCCAGATTTAAAAAGAATCCCAGGGGAACCCCCCCCTTCCGTGTGACTCAAGTTGTGCTTGAAGCTGGAAAAGCGCATCTTCATCGCGTAAAGAGTGCCAACCCTTGAAACAAACCAGCAAATAGAACATTTACCCACCATGACCTCCATAAGAAACCAACGGCAACAGAACACGACCTGAAGCAAAAGGAGATTGCTTTGCCCCGCAACTCCACAGACCAACGAGGCAGCGGACACCATGTTGGGCCATGTTGGGCCACAACGCGGCCAAACCCCCGGCGTCTGGAACGCCTGGCACGTCTCGAAGAATGGGGAGGCGGGGCCGGGCTCCAGCAGGAACCAGCCTCATGGGGTCTCTTTTGGACGCCCCAGGTCTCGGGCTCGGGAGACATGGGAGCCCCCCGGCTTTGGGTGACGCGACCCTTCTTTTTGGAGCCCCAACGGCGTGTTTTCGGGCGGAATCGCTTTAGCTTCCCCTATGACCTGCGGTGGTTTCCAGATTCAGCATGGCCCCTCCCGCAGCCATGATGCCGTGGCCCTGCTTCGAATCACACCAAAAGGGAGATACTTGTTCGGGGCTGGGTGCAGCCCAAACTTGATTCCCCCACAACCGGCCCTTCTAAAAGCGCACCCTTGTGCAAAAATATGCATCTGATCCCATTTGCGCTCCCACAATGTTCAACGCGCATAGCTCGTCCTATTTTTGCCATGCAGGGTGCAATGGTACTACCTGCATAGGCATCTCGGTCACAAAGTTGAATACGACCAGCTTGCCAAGTGGGGCTGTCCCAAAATAGGGGAAGTGGGGTGCTTCTCTGTGAATTTTCCCTTTCTGTGAATTCCCTTAGCACCTCAAAAACAAGACATGGCCAAGTACGGTCGCCCAATCCCCGGTGAGCCCATAGTGAGCTCGATTAAAAAAAAGGCGCAAGCCCCCCACCGTGTCCCCAATCTTCCCCACAAAATTCAAAAGTTCCAGGGACCACCACCAACTCAGTTGCCCAAAGGACCCAGGAAAAAAACGGTTAACATTTTGGGGCCATGACTAAATCCTTTTGTTGGATGTTCAAGCAACTTTGCAGGTTACAGTAGGTTGTAGCCATGGCTAAAGCTGCGTACTTGAGTTTGCCCCCGACATAACTTTCCATTTGCAGCAGAGTCCACTGAAAAAAATGGACATATGTCCAGTAGTGAAAATGATTCGCTTTAAATCCCACAAGGGAAAATAACACGTATGTTTCAGCAAATATCCCACCTGGGCTGATCCCATTTTCCAGGTGTCCTCTTTAGGTCAGTTTGCTTGAAAATAGATGGGTTCCACTGGTTTCCCGTATTTACCAGTGCCATCCTGTTCAACCACCCACCCCCCCCCCCACAACCAAAGACAAAGGGAGGCCTTTTTGAGCGGAAGCCGAAGCCCCATAGGTGTCCTTATTGGGGAAATGGAGTAGATGATTAAGCCACCAGGTACACCAGGGCCATCTATTTTTCTAGCGAAACAACCAAGAAGGACACCAACCAACAAACCCACCCACCCACCCACCCACTCACCCACCCACCCACCCACCCACCCACCAACCAACCCACCCACCCACCCACCCACCAACCAACCCACCCACCCACACCCACCCACCACCCACCAACCAACCAACCAACCAACCAACAAAGGAGAGGCCTTTCAGAGCGGAAGCCGAAGTCTGGTTTCCCCTTTCGATCCCCCAGCTTCAGGCGCCTCCCAGGTTGGCTCCTCGCCAGGGCTTCTGCCGCCAGAAGCTCCGCCGGAAGCTCCGCAGCGCCGAGCTCAGCGCCGCGGCCGCGGCGCCCGCGTTGCCGTGGCTCAGGTGCCACCAATGCAAACCGAACCTCGGAACGGACAACGGAACCAGCCCGGTGGGGCTTCCGGGCCATGGAACTTTCCTGAGAGGAAAAAAAGAAGAAAAAGGACGGACACCTCAAACACGCAAACGTACACACACACAAAGAGAGAACTAAAAAACACAAAGATAACCAAGAATAGCAACCAACAAGCCAACAACAATGACAACAACGACTACAATAGAAATGACAACAATTGCAGCAGCGGCGTCGACTATATTGGCTTCCGGGCCATTCGGAACTTTCCTGAAAGAAATAGACGTGGTGATATGAGGAAATGCCAAACCTAGAACTTCCGCCTGAAAGGTTCGTCGACGTGTGGGATGGTATGAGAAAAATGATGGTGAAAGGGCAACAAGTCAAAAGAATCAAGTCTGGCCATGGGTTTGCCATTTGCCGGCGCTTGGAAGCATCCAGTTCGCTCATGGTTTGTGATAAAGTGACATCCATTTCCTGCTCGCTCATCCCTGAAATCTGAAAGCCAGTCAGACAAGTAGGGGACCGCCAACATATGTTTCTTTTTTGTTGTGTGTGCTTGCAATGCAAAACGAACCCAAGCGGGTACTCTGAACAACGAACATGCCTATCGTGGGCACACAAAATCGGTGAACCATTCCAAAGGGACACTGATTTTTGTCCACCCCCTGAACGAAATGAGGATTTTTGCTTAGCAAGCTAGCGGAGAGGCAGCAATTGGGAACCCCACGAAAGGAGACGTGGCTGAAGGGGCGAACCCAATCCTTGGGTTCTTCCAGGCACCATTGTTTTGTTCAATCCCTTAGCATCGGATATAGAAATCCCTCTAGACTCCCCAAACCCTTCAAGACCCTTTATACAACTTTAGACTTGCAATTTGCGACGGCCCCCCCATATTACTCGCAAAGCTAAGACGACCACCGGATTAATCAACTGTGGGATCACAGGGGGTGTTCCAACATACCAATTGGATTCCCTTTAAAACAGCCCCTACTCATCAGCGCGTTAATCAAACCTGGGTCGAACTAAGTAAGGGCATGGGAAAATTGGCGAGTCCTTCCCCTTTTTCGTGGCAGAAACTTAGTGAAGCCCCATGCCCAGGCCCAAAATCAAGCATCAGCATCCACTACTCGTGTCACATTTTAGGACCGGAACCCCGCTTGGACGAATCTCTCGCGGCGAGAAGCTGCGTTGCCATCTGCTCCAAGGCTGTCTCCGCCTGTGTTGACTGTGTCCCCCAGATTACCCAAAAAGCCTGTCCTACTATTCATAGGCAGGGTGGGCGTTGACCCCTCCAACAGTGACAGCTCCCTCACTCAAAGGGGACACCCCCTCTATGACCAGGGATGGACGAAAAAAATCCGGTGATCCCCATGGCGCCGTGCGTTTTGAACCGCGTGTGACACTAAACCGGCGGCACGGGACCATCAGCCATCCCGAAATGGCCAAATGACGTTCACAGGTTTCGCCCTGACGCCCCGGTCAAAGACCGGAGAATTTACCGCTACCCCTCGTTTGGAATGCTGGCTTGAACCAATTACAAGGACACCGTGGCAGTTCATTGTGTATAGTTGTAGAACATTCGAGACAGGAGTGAACCTTTGGACGTTGATTGACCTTTGGTGCCATGACTCAAGACCAAAAGAGGCCCAAGATGTCAATTTGCTTTGCAACTTGGGGTAAGCGAAAATCAGTCAAAAGCCCATATCGACATAGACAATTCTAAGGAAAACCTGGTATTGGAGGACTCTATCCAGAACCTTGTGAAGAAGAAGTGCAGACGGCAAGGGAGCTGCCCCCTGTGCATGTGCTATCCCTCATGACTTGTTCATTTCATGGAGAATGGCAACCAAAGCAACCGTCCGCAACGAAACCCAAACTCTTCATGTGAGCCATGGTCGTGGCCGGCTATTGATCCGGAGGACCGTGCTAGTCAGGGGTGGATCCCCTTTTAGTTTGCAGCTGTTCCTCTAACAAGTGAATTCGAAGTTAACATTGGTGGATACCCAAAAGGGCCGTGTCCTATTGGCCTCCAATTGCACCAACCCCAAAAAGGGTACCCTCATCAAATTCAGCGACCTACACTACCGACTCCAAGTGGCGGGAGCTGCTAGGCCAGAGGTGGCCGCTGCAGATGCGATCTCCGCAGCTGCCTCAGGGACAAGCTGCCACACAAAGAAGTGGGGGGGGGGGAGGGGGATGCCTGGAAACTCCAAGACAAAACACTTCAAGCAGAAGTTCTTGCTTCCAAGCAAAACTGCAAAGGAGCGTGAAACAAGGTTTCAGCTTCAAAGGTGTAAAAAAGAAAGTTCTAGATTCAAAGGGCTGAAAAATGTCTCAGCAGGTTTCGAGTTCACTGAATAAAGGCAGGAACGCTAAGTTGGTGCTCTTCGCTGCCAGGTCGCCAAGGTGAACTACAGGCGTGCTTGGCTTGTTTGAACACTTTCGCGGCCTGAAATGCAGCCATCCACCCCTTCGGAATCGACCCATCGGCTCCTGACCCTAGCGTTGCCGTGATCGACTTGGGTCGTGCAGCCGTTGCACCCGTCCGGACCAAAGGGGAATGGCGAAAGGTTTGGCTCCGGCTGTTGGCCTTGACGTGGCAAGGGTCTCACTTGCCACCTTAAAAAAAAGGCCGGTTCCCAGGCTCTCCAAAGGCTTGCAGCCCAGGATGACTCACATACGAGTCACACGTGGAAAAAAGTGCACCTTTGTTTTAGACCATCTCCTGCAATTTGCCAAACATCAGCAAAAATATCAGCAGAACAAATCCAGACGCAACCTGCTTCCCTTTCCGTGGGCAGGGCCCTGGTTGTTTAGCCCCTCCATTCGATCGCCAGCGCTCCCCGCCTCCACCGCCTGCCAGCCGTCCTCCGCGTCCGCCGCAGCTTTGGCGGCGGAAAGGGCTTGCTGCCGGCTTGCGGCCAGCTCCTGCGGACAGATGTCACCCCGAATTCCCAGAATTTGGTGGGGGAGAGGTGTTCTTAGAGAATTCGTAGCCCTCCCTGGTAGGCGGACAGGGCAATCTATTTTCTGATGGCCAAAGCAAGCAACAACGACACGGATCCTGCAACCCGTGCAACCTTCAGCCAGAAACCAAGGCTCCCGAATATAGGCAAGTTCGCTCAGCTGATACGAATGTGCCAGCCCATGTACATTCAAACGACTTGCTCTGTAAGTGCGTCTCCGCGCGTCAAAACAAGTTGGCCCCCTCCAACACCTCTTGACGGTTGGTCGCTTTCCCTTCGGTTTCCCTGACTCACCCAAAAAACCGGTGTGATGCCACAGTCAAACTAACCCCGAACCATTGGTGCTTATATACTCACTTCCCAAGTTGGCTGGCCAAAAACAGTTTGAACTTTTTATTTACCACTAAAATGGTCTTTCCAAAAAGTTTAAAGTCCATCAACTCAGGAAGTGAGTATAGTCGCTTGGAGACTCAGAGCCGCACAAAATTAACCTGGCGACTTCATGGAAAGCGCGCAGTCTGCCTGGCTGGTCGGCCTTGGGCCAAGAGCCTTGACCGCCCCGAAAAGTCAACGGCACGGCAAAGCTACCTTTGTTTTGCCTGGAGATATGGGTATGGGCCAAAATTAAACCAACAGGGGACCGCAGGTTCTAGTCATGGTTTCCATTGGCCAGGGCAACCCATTTTGGGGTTACCCTAGTTTTGACCACAGCCATATTGCCAAGAGCGCTCATTCCGAGCGCGCGCTGCCGCTGATTTCAAAGCCCATCCTGCGCCACGCACTTGGCGTAGTGGCCGCTGCTTGCTCCTCAGTAGGCATGGGAACCCATTTTAGTGAGGTAAGAATCAGTTAACTACATGGACCCCCCTGTGAGGCCCAGCCATTTTCTAGGAAATGATGGAAATCTCCGAATGCTTTACCCATTAGTTTATCATTAGTTGGGTGTACTAACTGGTTGTTACTCACTATGAAGCTCGGGAGCCAGGGTGACTTACATGTCCCCTTTCAACACCACCCCAAAGAAACTCCGTCAACATGGCCACAAACGCGATACACCAGGATCCCTGAAAACACTTGGCCTTGCCAATAAACGCTCAGGCTGACCTCCCAAGTACCAAGTAACTACCAAACACGAATGCTGATTTTGTTCCCCCCCCCCGTTGGCCCGGCCCCAAAGTGGCTGGTTTACCTCAGTATTCCTAAGGGGGGTTACCCCCCTCCCCCCGCGCCCGCACTTTTCCAGGAAACACCAAATTGACCATGCCGCTCTTGGAGCACTGGCGTGATCCCTTTCTCTAACATTCTCGTGCAGAAGCCGTTGCACCCGTGTCGGCGATGGGAAAAAACGTGTCTGTCAGTCTGTCGGGTGCGCTTCAAACGCTTGCGGCCATCCCAATCCCACCGTCTGCATCAGAGAAGTAGGGGTTCCTTCTTCACCGGCAGGCATGCCCTGCTTAACGCTGTGCCCACCCACGTAGTTTTTGGGCTCAAACTCCAGGGATCCCTGATCCAAAGCAAGGGAAGCCACTACGGCATAGGGATGGCACGCTTGACCTGAAACCCGAAAACAGAATAGAGAATGTGTTTAGAGGAAACTACCCCCAGGAAGGTGCCACGCTACATTGGGGGTCCTCCAAATTACCCTCCAGGTGGTTCTTTGCGGAGGTTGCCCACCCCTCCCAGAGCCCCTGAAATGTTCAGATTAAGGGACCCAGAAATGGCCATGGGTCAAAACCCAAATCCTAGCCCCACTGAACATCCCAATCCCCACTAAAATAGGTTCTAAAATGGGTGGTGAATTCACCTACCAACCAAAATGGGATCCCATTGGTTTTGACCCACAGCTTATAGAATGTATATTCTAGTGGTTGCTTCCCGTTGAGTCACTGGTAAAATGCAAAATGTGTCCTAAGTCTACCCCAGCACTACTTGCATGAGCCCTCTTGGGGCAATGCCAAAATGGGTGGTGCACCTAACCCATTGGTTTTGACAACCACGGCCAAACGTGTCGGTGGTCTTCAAAAATGTGAGCCCTCGCTCCTCCGCTGTCCTCCCGGGCCGCGGACCAGGCGACCCAGCGGCAATGGCAGGCTAGACTGTAGCTGACCTGCGCGAAGACGGGAACTCAACTGAAGGAACTCAACTAGGTCTTCCAGTAGAGAGGTTTGAATAAGGGTACCAACTTTTTTCTGTATATTTTAGTAGGGGAGCCCTCCCAAAAAAAGAATTGAAAAGGCACTACTGGGGGACCCAGCCAACCAGCCAGAATTTCTAGAGGAATCGCCTTTTGGGGGACCCCTTCTCCTTTTTGGGGTTCCATCTGGAAAAATTGAACGTGTGTCCAGTGACAAAAAAAACTCCGTAGGAAAGCAGAGCCACGGGTAATTGCCGGCCAAGCATCATTTCTGGAAGAACCTCTTCTTTTTGGGCATGGTTGTCGAGAACAACCCTTTCTGTGATACCAAAGTGGACAGTCCTATGTCACTATTTGAGGGCCAGTCCCATATCACAGAATATGAATGCAAAGCCCACTTTCCCACAACCATGCTTTTGGCAGACCTCCTTTTTTGGGTAAGTCCCCCGGAAAAAAAAACATGAACATACTGTGGATGGACAAAATCCTGCACCACTTAAGAAACCCTGGAATGATGATTCTCCTGTGAATACCAACAAATTATGGTTGCCCATGGTTTCAAAGTGGTGCAGGATTTCGTCCATCCACAGTATGTCCAGTAGCGATAGGACCCCTTTGAAACACAAGCAGACATAAGATCACTCGAACCAGCAGCTTTTCCCCCCTCACCTCGGCTTCCGAAGGCCCGCATGCCGCGCTTGCCATGGAAGCGCTTGCCATGCTTGCCGCGGCTTCCATGGAAGCGATGTTTGGATGCCCCTCCAGTGTCTAAGAATGGAAGTGATGCTTGGCACTGGGTGCTACAGAGTCAAAATCCTGAAGAGAAGAGCCATCTGGCCTTGGGGTGGAGTCTGAACCAAATCCTGAAAAAAAGAGCCATCTGGCCTTGCAACGGGTCAAAGGAACTCTGGGCTTTTGCTGTGGCTTTCTGTGGTGCACAGCGCCCAGGTCTGGCTGGTCCCTCTCTGAAACAAACATGGATGACAGGACCCATTCTTTGTCCACTTCCATGCATCATGGCTGCAGCTGCCGGAACCAGAAAGAGCAACGGCATCTGTCCTGGTTTGGATCTTGAGTTGTTTTCCATGCAACTGGCTTTGCCAGTGCCACTTCTCCAGCCACTTGCAGTTTAATGAAAGTAGATGGCACATCTCCCCATGTTGGTTTAGTTGTTGCCTCTTACCCAAATCTACAGGTAATTCTCCCCTCTACCAGCCAAGCAAATGGCTGCACGCTTGGCCAAGGACAAACCTGCCAGCTTCCAGCATACCACGGAAATCCCCTGGAGAATTCCAAGCTCACTTGGCCCCCCTTGGGCCTGGAAATGAAAGGCTGACCTGCCAAAAAACCGCCAAACAAGGGAAACCAACAATGGACACCAAGGGACACCAAAGGCCGATCCGCTTCACGAACTCCCGGCTGCGACCTAAGAGCCCGGCCCTTGGACTTGAGGTGGGCCTGGGAGAAAGCGGCAAGAGTGCGCCTCATGCGAAGGGTAGAATTTAAACAATGAGGACGTGTACCAACCAACAACAGGCTGTATGCACATAGATATGTTGATATTTGTTTTGTCTTGGTAGACATGCACGTATACAAGTCTAATGTACATATATATATATATACATACATACGTGTGTATGTGTGCGCGCATCTATATATATCGTTCTGCCTGCGCATGTACGTATGCATCTCCAGTTGTATAGGCAACACTTATATGTATAACCACAAAATGTTGCTCATCATAATTTATGCAGCATGGAACACCTATGAATCAACAGTACGTACGTCTTAGTTTTTACACTTGCCTACCTGCACATGTCACTGCATCCTGCTGGAGGTCAACGGAAGTAACAGATCGCCCTATGGCGAAGCAAGTGCGGGATCAAGGCTCGCTCCATGGGTGAAAATGCCTGAAACGATGTTTCTTTGTTTGCAAGGCCTGTTGGTGCCTTTTGTTTCCGCGGGCGGAGCCCTAGTACCAACATCACATCTACGAATGTGGCTGACACCCTCTGGTCAACCAAGCTTGCTGTTCTATCAACGACCTGCGGCATTGCGGGTGGAGCACACCTGCGTGTTCCAACGGAGCTGCCTGTATGATTTCCATGGAGCCTGGCCACGGAGCCTGGCCAGCTTGCCCACTGGGCTGAAACCCTTGTGATCAGCAGAAAATGCCACACAGCAAGTGAAGCTTGCCGCGACTGAAGGGTGCGTGGGCCGAAGGCTTGCCAGCAAGGCTTTTTTGCCCCGCAGATTGCGTTCGTTTTCTGCGCGGTCGCCATTCTTTTCTCTGGGGTGCGCACGTGACGGTTTGAAGTTATCTATACCACAAACCACGCAAATACCTCCCTCCCCATGTCGCGTGGCCCAACCGTGCTCCAGCTGCCTCCCAGCTGCCCCAGCCCCAGTCTTAGTTCCTGCACGGCTGTAGCCGTGAGGAAAGTCACCTGGCCCCAGTCCCTTGCCCTTGGGCTGTCCTTGTGCCAAGCGGATACCTTCATGCAGCTGATACTTTCACGCATGGGAGGCTTCTTGCCAGCTGCCCAGCTTCCCCACGCCTGGCCCTGAAGTAGGAACAGAAACCAAAGGAAGCCTCTAAATCAAACAGGCCCTGCCTGAGGCGGGTGGTTTCCCTTTATCTCAACCTCATGCCGTTTTCAAGCCCAAAACAGCGCATCCTCAAAACACCACGTGCTTATCGCAGGCTGCACCCCCTTTGAAAGGGATGGCCAACCACTTGTTTAAGCCATGGATGAAGCCGGGTTCAAACAATCTCATCCAAAGTTGAGGGCCTCTCTGATTGCATTGCATACCTACCATTGTATACACTGTTTTCCCCAACCCCACCCCTACCCTTGAGGGCTTGGTCTGATTGGTTGAAACGGTTACCATTTTCTCCATCTGAACTCCACCCGTGGCTTTCCCGGTTGCCTGTGGGTCCATCTTCTGCTTCAGGTCCTGGTTCGGTCAAATGTTGTGACGAATGGATGTGGGTGACCTACGGAAAGAACTGCTTGCGTGTTGCTTCCTTGCTTGGTTGCAGTTGACCCCCCTGCAAAAAGGGGGAAAAAGTTTATCTTTTTGGGGGTTTAGTGGAAAACCCCTTGATTTCCCAAAAACGTGGTTTGGAAACGACACACCCAATTCATATTGCTTGTGCAGCAGGGAACCAGGGAATGACCCTTAACCATCCCTTGTGGTCTCCTTTAAGGGGACCCCTGGCTTTATTCCCTCATTCCCTACCTCTCGCACCAGCAAGTCATCGTTGCTTCCTTGTTGTTGGCTTGTTGCTTTTCGTGGCTCCCCGCTAGTTTCGCGCTAGTTTCCTGCTAGTTTCCTGTGGGTTTCCCTTGGAAACCATCCCAAAATTCCATTGACTTGACGCATGCGTATTTCGCCACACAAAGGCTGCGAAGGTTCAATGGCAACCTCAGGACAACCTTCAGGAGCACCAAGCAATGGCAGGACTCGTGTCCTTTCCAAATCCTCCAAAAACTGGCATGTGCATGCGCAGTGGTCCCCCGCAACGCCGGCCGGTTCCTTGTGCTTGAGCAGGATGTGTCTCGCCCGCACCTGGCGAGACCCCCATCACAGACCAAGCGCAAGGGATCGAATGGCCCATCCTGGTGGAATCGGTGGCAAATGACCCAAGCTGAAACCAGATGGATCGCGGTTCAACCGATTTTTGGCCAAAGCTCGCTTCCCAAGTGGACCGGCCAAAAAAAGTCTAGACTCGTCATTTCCCACTAAAATGGTCCTCCCCAAAGTTCCCCAAAGGTTCAAGTCCAGGAGCTCAGGAAATGAGAAACCGAGCCTTCAATTGGGCTGCGGTGGCCACCCGCCAGGTCGCCGCGCCTTCTCAGAGGAGTCCTTCCTGGCCTTCTTTGCGGCCGGCTCCACGTAAGCAGCTCCCACCTCAGCGTGTCTGTCAAAGCCTGTCATCTTGCTTTCTACCGTCATGCCTGCGTCTTCCGGCACATTTGAGAAGTAACCCTGGCTAACCCTTATCACCATCATATTTCGTGATACGTCCAAAACCTGACCCAAAGCTCCGCTCTACGCCCAGAACCATGGCCCTTCCAACTTGCTTCACCATCCAAGTGCACCAGTGGTGAAATGTCCCGACTGCCGCAAGATGTGGGTAAGCAAAGGAGGGGACTAAACCCCAGTTGCAGCGGGGAAAAATCATCCATATTTCATTTTACAGGAATACCGTGGCTTTTGATGGGTGTCGCCCAAGTTCGTCTAGAACTTCCTAGTTACCCTGGATTCTATGCTTGCGCCGTCTATCACCCAACTGCAAGCCTTGTAACTTGTAGGTGTTGATCCTTGTAGGGGACTCCCATGGCTTCAAAATTTCCCTAGTGGTCTCCCCTTAAAACAGCAAAACTCTAGGGGTTGATTGTCTCTTGTAAGTGTCATTTTTTGTCGATTTTGCTTAAAACCGCAAAACTCTAGGGGTTGATCCCCATTCTGTTCAGCCATCCTTCTTTTCCAAAACCGATCGCCGTTTCCCCAGGGTGTTTGGGCGGCGTTCTAGAAAGAAGGATCCCTGGAAAGAATGGGGAAGCTACCCCTTAAAAAAAGGGGAAAGAAAAAAAAAAAAAAAACGAAGCCCGGGCCCGGGACCCGCCTCCAAAACTCCGACGATGCAGCTGCCGAAGCGCTGTGGCCCTTTGGCACCGAGCCTCAAGCAATGCGACGCAAGGGGAACCAGGATAGAAACGAACAAGCAAAAAACAAACCAGCCTTCTGCATAAGCAAACAAACAAGAAGATGAGTGTATGTGTTTGTATGTGTTCTAACTCTTTTGATTGAAGGAACAACTTTGGATTATCGGGCAGAACGAAATTTCAAGGCATGTTCTTCCTAAAGCTTACTTTGGCACAATGCGAGATCGCACTGCTGGAATAGATGGTGCCACAGCTCGAGCCGAGGTCACTAATATTCATTCATGCGGGCTGCAAATTCCAAAGCGATATGGTAATGGAAGGGAACCAAAGGCGAGGCTTCTGGCCACACAAAGCCAAGGCGTCAGCGTCCGCAAACACCCGCAGACACAATAAAACAGAGGCACTCGAAGGTTTGCCGGCCTGCAACTCTTTTTTCGAGACAGCTTCCCCACGCATGTTTGATCAGTTTCTTGCCGCATCGGCACAACTAAGCAATAGACCCAGTCGCCTAATGGGCAAGGTGTTGCTTCTGCCCACAGGGCGTGCATCTGCGCACGGCACCCTCTGGTCTGGGCGTGGCTGCCAGCAATCATGGAGGTTTGAATCCTCCCTGGGTCGTTTTTGTAGCAGGTGTTAATTTTCGAATTCTCTCTGCGTTGCTTTTGTTGTTTGTTTGCTTGACACCTGCAAAATGTTGCCAACTTTGCGCTGACGTGTTGAGTGTTGCATAATTTGTCATAGGTCTACGAGGGTGCTGCTTGCCACTGTTCTAGGTTCTTGTTCAGAGTGATGACCGTTGCGCTCGCAAAAGACCTTGTAAAAGCGGCCCAGAAAAAGTAACAAACAATGTGTATAGTAAATAAACATGGCAGGCAAAGGGCAGGGTCCGCGCAATGCCTATGGACCAAGCGTATCTGCCTCTTCCTCGTCTGTGATTCTCAAATGTTCGATCTGGACGTTCAACCCACTTGGCCAAGCACGCCTCTAGCTGGGTAGCCGATGTTTATTCCTTTATGACTATAATACCTGTGGCTTGAACACCCAAGAGTGGCCCGAACCGTTGGAAGTACCCCCCAGCCTAACATGGACAC